AATGAAAAGACAAATATTGGTAACTTTCCAGTAACGCTCAACTAAAATGAAATTCACATTATTTTTAGCAAAGAAGTCACAATAAAACTTGGAGGGAGTCTAAGAAGGTAGAACAAAGCAACAATTGTACCGCGCGGAGAAAATGTGGTTACGAATAGCCGCAACACCACCGCTGCAAACCACATGAAAAAATAAATATACACTCGCAGCGTAGCGTTCTTCAACCTAAAATCACAAACATATCAAATTTAAAATTAGGATTGTGGTAAATGCGGAGTGAATGACAGTCTGTCCGGGACGCTGTCGCCGCTTTATCAATCTGCCACATTCCCAGATAGTCCAGATACAGTTGAGAATGGTAGTGTCACAAATAGTAGCAACAAATTTAACTATCATCACCGCCAATTGCATGGCCGGAATTCACGTATGCTAAGTCCAGGTTGAATTGCAAAGACGGATCGTTTGCCGAGTGTCGAAATAATGTCTAAGAATTGATCAGAATAATTCATTTATTGTACATTAATCGACTATTTAACTTGTTTTATGGAATATTAGTATTGAATTAAATAATTAAATCGAAAAATTTTACGACAAACCACATTAAGATCGAATCTAAATATTTTCCAAGCAATATAGAGTAAACTCAGCGGTACGATCAAGGTAAGCCAGTATTTGTGCAGTTAAGCAGCACGAACTCTCCAAGCATTGCTATACGTTCGTTGGTTATCAGTAATAAATTTAACTCACGAGGATGTTTTAAAATCTGCGTAAATGTATAAAAAAAATTATAATACAGATGATGTAAATAATGAAGCAGTACATTGGTTTTTCCAAGATTGTAAGGAGCAAGGAAGTTCATAGAAACAACTTATTTTTCTAAACCCAAGCAATTTTTGTTTCATCTTCTCTTTTAAAATAACTCCTCTAAAGTAAATATAATTTCGTATTCATCATTAAAAATTTCATAAAAAATACAGTGCAAGTTATTTTAAAACTGCAAAAACGGAAATGGAGCTTAAAGAAATACCTAATTGAAAAAATTCTTTAAAGCATAAGCTTCAAAATATAACAACTGTCCGGCACGCTTTCGTCTCTTCTTCGTTTCAAAGAGAATAAAAATCTTATTTTCCTGGTCCACGAGACAGCACGGTGCTGTGCATGACCCCAAGTGCCGACCAAATACTCGTAACCTGTAAGTGCATGGACCAAACGACCAGTGAAAGTCTCTGTGAACGAATTGTGAATGCAAAAATGAACCGCATTCCTGAAAAATGTTATTAAATAAGATATAAAACATACATACATCACAAAAACGAATGGTAAAACGATTAAAATAAAACTAAAGCTCACGAGGATGATGACGGAAGATCACACTGAAAACAACAATGCAAAGTCACTACGCGCAGCAGAGGCTACTGAGTCCACAGGGAGTCGACTACGTCAACAGCATGCACAAGCCAGCGATCGTTCGTTCCACTCGACTTCACTTGAGTGGCTGTCGGCGTGCATGCACCCAGAATATTCCTTATTGAAAATAAAGCTTCTTGAAAAAGCAGCCCACAGTGTGCATTGCATCTCGGCAACGGAAGAAGATTGATATTATTCAAAGGCAACCAAGCGAATAGTTAGTTTCATGACAGTATCAAGACTAAGCTTGCAGGAAAAATACAGTTAAATGCATGAGGATGGTAAGTATTTATGTTATGGCAATACATAGGAAAAGATCGTACTATAGAGCCTTTCAATTATAATCAAATGAAAAAAATGACTGTTGAATGATTATAAGATAACAACACTGCCCTAGACTTTGAACCGTAAAAACTATGAGCAGAACAGGAGCAATGCTAAGCATGATAGTATGCAGATACTAGTGATGAATGGTTGCTTGTATCGGAGCCCGGCTGCTAGGCACTGCGGCACCATTCGCAGCTGCTGTCTCGCATTCAAGGTCAATCAGCGGACAGCCACGAGTTGCTCAGTGACGAGAATTTTTCTCTCTTCTCTGCAATGAAGCATACATTGCTTGGCAGCACAATTGCTTGACCACCACCGAGTACCGTCCTTCATTTTGTCCTTCAACGCGACATGCGTGAGATCAAAGCAATTCCGCTTCCGCTTGCGAATATACACCAAAAAGTAGCCTGAAGACGTTGTGATCTTGATCATGCACAGTGAACAAACGTACATGAGCAACTGTCCATGAACCAACATCGCAGCATGAGAAGCCAAAGCAGCAGGAATATGAAAACTATTAACAAACACACAGTTAAGATGAAGATTTCAATACCCAAATTAATTCACAAGAGAATTCCATGAAAACATGAGCTGAATGAGTATAGAAGTTGACAGTTTATGTTTGATTCCACTAGGAAGACAAATTAGTTGTTTCAAAGTGATAAAGATTTTTAATCGATCCATCAAATCGAAGAAATTTGTTGACTCAGATAAACATAGAAAAATTTCGCATCACGTTCAAGTAATTTTAAATTTAATTTCTACCAACTACAGCATCACAGTTTTTACTTCAACATTGAATCCACGATTGCTCGATCATTAAGCTGTGAATAAAAAAATCTCTCCCAGCAACAAAATGAACGCAGACACAAAGCATGGAATAAAAAAACTATCGATTAGGTTCCAGACATATTTCCAAGGTAAAGAGAGTCTAAGGAGTTGACTCCTCTGCAAGCTCTCTTAGTTTAAAGTATTTATTTATCAATGACGTTGTTCAGAAATCCAGAAATTAATGAGATTTCTACATAAACGAAAGTATTTTATACTTATTAATAACAAACGAGACGACACTGCCAGGAAAATTTTGACGGGAAATGTGAAGAAAATTTATAAGCGCGTATTGAAACCTGAAGTAAAAACTCAACTATATGTTTTTCAGGAATATCGATAATGAAAATTAGACTGATACAATTACTTTACACAGCACAATATTTTCACAGCACATCAGTACACAGCGTAAGACCAAAAAATCAGCCAACTGCCAGTTCATGATACCAATTTAACCGTTTATTTCCACCTCTCCTAAATATGACAATAGAGACCATTCGACACAAACACAGGAGAGCTTTTATAATGAGAAGATCGGAACGCTGTTTATCTGTTTCGGAACGCTATAACAGAAGGTAGATAGGAAAAAAATAAATTAATTAAGAAAAATTGTCTCACAGATCCAAGTAAATATTCGGTTTGAATTTTTGTACATGAATGACAATTTGTGAATTCGGAATAAATTCAGTTCAGTTGCATTATGCAACGAGCCAACGACCCCCTCCATGGACGAAACTAGCCTTCAAAAATGTTATCATACTTAGCAATTTCGTTGGCTAAAATCGTTCGGACAAATATGACAAGGATACATGGCATAAGCTTAGCATGCATTGCAGAGCATTGAATGCAAATGCAGCTGTCGAGAAATGCCTTCAGGCAAACGACGATTTTCAGCATCAGTGACAACATGTGTGCACTCAAGACAATCCATCAGTAATGTTGAATCTGCAAAACACGATCAGCAAGTCATCAAGTAAACAGTGTTCACTATTGCGCCGACTTGTTTGGGAAATAAAAATTGAAATTAAAAGGCATCAAGACAGCGCACCTAAAAACTAAAAATATTCGCACAATCAAAAACAACTCCTAATTGAAGACCTGTGGTGTGTATGTCTGTCAAGGTATATATAAATATAGATTTAGTTACAGAAATACAAGGAATCTCCATTGTACTCCGCTTTAGCTATCATAAATGTTTCTCTATTACGAATATTAGTCGAAGAAAAGCCTCGTAAACCCAAGGCTGTTGCACTTCGGACTCGAGCATGAATAAAACAGTGCTACTGCCTGCATCTTGCTCACGAATATTGCACAACATAATAGTGAGCTGTTATATATTACGATGAGAATTGCGGCTCTCCAATGAGTTTTTTCGATGAAATATACTAGTGGAATAATTTAGAAATAAGTTTTTCAAAGTAGTATGACAATACATTTCCAATGCTGATGAATAATTCTAATAAAAAAACGTGCTTATCACTAAAATTCCCAGATCACTAAAATCATATAAAAGCCAACAGACTATGAGTGGTTCACTGAAATGTACGAATACGCTGATAAGTCAACAAAGGACTCCACTCCGAAGTATCTTGCGAGTATGCTCAATGAGAGACAACGAGAGCCACTTGACTAGATGAACGTCATCAAAACAACGTCACGAATAAAGGCTCTCTGAGCTAACGATCTTGAGCGGAAGGATGTGTAACTGACTGCTATGTAAATTTCTATTGATACTGCAGACTACCACTATCAAATTTAATGTAGATTTAATTGCATCTTTCGGTTTTCTTTGGAGACTAAATTGGCATGCGGGTTCATGATAGTTAGATAAACATAATGTTGGACAATCCCTACAATTTTAGGATACCATTAAGGCATTATCTTGAATCTCATCACACATTTTGCGCCTGTTCTCGTAATAGTGATAAATTGTATCATTGTTCATAAAGAGAGCGTAGTCCTAACCCGCATTCAACATAAAAACTATTTTGCGTCTTTAAAAGACAAATGTATAAATAACAATTTAAAAATAAAGTTGTCATTTTTGGTGTAATAATTTCTCCCAGTTTTGCTACGTCTTATTACTCTCCAACTGAGAATAAAATTTATCGTCCGGGTAATACCATGACATGCTAAGTATCCTGGTTCCGCGTTTCGCACAAACACAAACTTTGACAAATACTTATAAGATAATAGAACACATAGGGTCATACAACATAATATCAGCAACGGCTCTAACTTCTTTGTCCATGATGAAATTAAATTGAAATAAAATTATTTTTGCCTTACAATTAATTGATAATTTGATAAAGCTACAGCATGAGTTGTACCATTTCCAATTGCGGTTAATCAAACATAGGCGATAAATAGGAAAAATAATATCGACTGCCAAATAATGGCATAGCTGTGATAATAGAAGTAACACATCTAAATCATACCTGTCTAGGGCGGGCGATGCCAATCCCGTTGGGAGAAAATTGGCTTTTGAATTTCTCTAGGAAAGTTTCGGGAAGAATGGGGGCTGTGTTGCTGGGAGGCGCGGGCTGCAGAGGTTGGTCACTTGCCAGCTGCAAATACACCCGCCAGTTGGAGGGATCAAATCCCCAATGACAGGTGCGTGTCTCTAGTGACCGATGGGCGTGACATACAAACTCCTCGGGAGAGTAGAAAGACCTGCATTCACAGCACTGAATGCACTTGGCATCAGGGCTGTCGTAGAGACAGAGGTAAACCCAACCTCGACACTTGCCAAAACATCGATGAGAGACGATGATATTGGGTGTGAGCTGATTAGTTGAGTGGCTGTTGACTGGAGTGTGTTGAGATGGTTTAAGATTCGTGACGAACTGGTGAGAAGAAGAATTATAAGGTAAGGTTACTGTCTTGGGAGGGTCTAGCTGCGGAGCATTGGCGTGTACAAGAGCATGAGTTAAACGATGAGCATCTGAGTACGTGATGAGTCCGCACGACGTGACGTGATGAGGCAGAGCGCATGCGTCTTTCAACACTTGCAGTTGTCGCGTTGAACAAAGAGACAAGTAAATATGTAAAGATTGCAACTCAGCATTAATTTGCGCCATAGAAAATTCTCGCAGGGCAGTGCATAGCACTTGAGGGAAGCAAAGCCTGCGCTCGCCGCCGACAATGAAGCATGCCACTTTATGGTCCAGAAGAAGTGCTTCGCTCTTCCCCCCACAAACATCAGCATTGCCCATAACAAAAGGGAAAGGAGCATGCGGAGGAGAGGAGTAAGAAGTTGGAGAGAATGGAGAAGGTGGAGTAAACACACCAACTTCGGCCCATCCTCCACTGTAAGAGTTAGGAGATGCTCGAGACGAGCGAGTGATGACGGCATCATGAGAGAGATCGTCATAAGGTTCCTTCTGGTAATGGAACTGCAAAAGTGCAGCTGATGCAATTGCTCGTTTATCTAAAGACTTTTCCTCTTCGTTACAGTAATTGTAGGGATAGGAATTGCCTTTGCCGTTGGACACGATCCCGGGACGACATTTTTCAAGGTCATCCTCAATCTTCTTGCCGCCGTCTGTAACCGCAGTTACGCTATCGGCATCGAACGATTCGAAACCATGGCACTGGCGAGTATCACCCGGCAAATTCGGACGATTCAAGACCCGGTTTTGGGATTTCAAATTGCCATCATCTCCACAATCGGTCTGTTGTGAATGCAGGAAAGAGCGGTTTACACTGATTGTCATACATGATTTTGGAAATGTTTCCTCACAACTTTGTTTCGGAGTAGATTTTTCACAGGTGTTGGAAGTTTGCTGTTGGAAACTCAGCAATGCTTCACGTTGTAGAACTTTCTTGTAACCAAGAACTTTTATTGAGTTAGAATCTCGTAGGTCTGTTTTCTTATTTCTTTTCTCGCTCTCTGAATTCATAAATGGACTTGGCCCGTGCAAGCCTTTCACAGCAGAATTTTGATAGCTTTTCAATACTAGCTTGATGTCAGAACGATTTTCATGTGTTGCCATAGTTAACTCATTGGGATGCAAGCCATCCCAGACGAAGTTCTAATCAACAGATCATTATTGCACACAGTCACCACGCGAGTGCCAAGCTCATACTAAACATCCAAAAGACTCCATGGCTTCATTCTTGCTGCTGCCTGCTGCGGCTAGCCGACCCTCTAAAATGTGCCAAGTTTCGCCATCAGCATCGAAATTGAACAAAACATAATGTGTTTAAAGTATCAACTATTCGCAAACTATAAATAGGTTATCAGTTAATCATTACTTTACTTACGTTTTCACCTATATTAGTGAAATCATTCTGCTGATTTTTCAATTTCTTATTGAGTATTTGGCACATAGTCTACTGCAAGTCGCCGGCTGTGGTTGCTATAGAGGTGCTTTTCCGCGCGTTCACTGAAGCACGCACCTATCAATGCCAAAACACTATTCACGTAATTCCAAGCCATATCTAATAACTAGTTGTTATGCATAAACATTCCATTATTCATAAATACTGATATTTTTATTTCTATTTTATTGTATAAGGCTAGTTTCTCGGGTAATTCTAAAAATTCAGAGGACGGAGAAAAGAAGACTGACAAAACACACACACATGTACGCACCAACATCTGGCGGCAAATACTACCAAGTACCAACAGCATCACATTGCGAAAGGGTTGTCTACGGACGTATTCGTGGCTGTCCGTTTATCATTAGACTCATTCGTAGCAACTTATGAGTGCTCAGAAAATAAACTCATTATTTATTCATCGCACTGCGGTTCACTATAGGTATGTTATTACGATACAATCGTAAATAGTGTTTTAATTCAAGAAACTGGAGGAATTAGAGGCCATAAATAGTAAAGGCCACATAGCGGAAGTATGCTCATGACAAGACGTTTGGACATTCCGGTTGAGATGTCTCTTCTGAAGTTTGAAAAATGCGGAAGCTTATTTGATTTTTGTGAAAAGAACAAAAGTATTGAATGGAAAACGGCTTATGTATTCAAATTAAGGACGTTGTAATCAATGTCATTTCAACGTAAACGAATTTTCTCAAATATAATCAATCGAATAAAATTCAATGCTCAGCATACATTTTTGCTGAAACTGAAATAAAAAACTCTTATGATGACCGTATGATTATTTGCTTATTTTTTCTTGGCTTCTTATAAATGGGTTATCTGAGTATGAAGTCGTGCCCCACTCTTGTGTTTACAGAAGCTGCACAAGGGACGCATGGCATTCCCGTGCCTGTTGGGTTTGAATTTACAGGGCGAGAAACAACTGCAAGTTCCTCATTAGTTTCAGTACGCTGGGCCAGATAGAAATATTTAGGATGCTTTAGAATATAATGTAGTGCATTCAATGTTTAATTTAGAAGAATCAAGGCCGGGATTGGAAAATAGTGCACCAGAGTGGTGCATTTGGTATATAATACAAAACATTTCTAGCAAACTTTTTTATATTTTCGTATGAACAAATTAAACCTAATGTTTTGCTGATGTTGGCGAACTACATTTATTTCTTCCTCACGGCATTTGTAATCGGAATTATGAGAGCGATAAATTGTTTTCACCTATTATTATTTTTGGCTGAACCAATTTCTAAATAGTTTCAGAATGGAACTTCCTATTCAACTGATTTTAGCATGAACATCAAACATATCTAGAGGGAAGTTATCTGGTATTTAAAGAATGTTTATTCTGCAGTGCCAAGCCCCGAGATCGTCACGATCAACACAATGAACTGACTTCATTAATTCATGCAGGACACATTGATTAGTGATGGAAGTGTGCGCGTTCTTTTTCATTAAGCTACGTTCCATTATGCGGTCAAAGAACAAAGGCATGATATATGAAGCATGGTCGGGTAAGCTCACCGCAGTTGATGTCGTCGTCGCCAAGAAGTAGAGCTCGTAAACCACAGAAGTGGGCCTCTTAGGAAGTCCTGAAGAACTCATTAAATTATCCACCAAAAACTTTGAGAGACGACGACTGTCCGAATCGCCCTGAAATGTCATAAACTAGCTCGTTTCCTAGGACAGTGAATGAGTTTTGGTTCGCTGTTCAATCCCGTAGATTATTTTTTGCTGGTGCCACAAAATGTGGGGAAAATATTTCCCGCTTAAATTCTTTATGTCTATCAGTATAATATTGAAATTCTAGATTATTACTTTTAAATTCAAGTTTTGAAAATTCAAATTGTTCTTTAGAAACAAGACAGTTTTCAATATTGATCAATTAAGTTTTTATCTGCATGCAAATACGCCGTCATAAATGTGCGGTCCTATCATTGATGTCCGACAAAAATTGTGGTCGTTAGTCTGTCTATTCATATTTTCTGGGGATGCATGATGAATGGTTACCATACATCCATTCAGATACTGTCCGGAGTTCAGTTCGTACTATCAACAATTGGTACTAGACGATAATGTATTGCACAACCAGTGTTATACGCGGACTTGAGCCTGCTGATTAATTATACAATGCACTGTGACGGCTGACGCCAAATGTTGAGCAGCGTTTGGACCAGTGGGAAGATCCCTATCAAAGTTTTACTTCAGCCGTATATCTAATGCTGTAGGTATGTTTTCATGTAAGGTTATTTTTAATCATCGTTTTTACGATTTATTTCTTCTTCTCAATAACTTTTGTAAATGTTATTGCGCTCATATATCATGTACTGATTTACCAACTAATTGTCAGAGCACGTGGCCAATGAAGATTAAGCGAGCGATATGGGCCAATATTAGCACGAATCTTTCAGTGACGAAACTTTTCATCAGCTAGTGGCGGATGATTCATTCTTTTTTCTATCTAAGATGAACGTACTATTTCATGAAATTGGCCCTCAGATTTGTAAAAAGGCAAAGCTAATATTACTGAAAAATAAGTGTTCATGATCAAATCTCCTGTCTGCAGTGCAGAAAGAATACTTACAATAAGAATTGTCCCGGTCATGGTGCAAAGTCTCTTTGAATTGCAAATGGCTTTCTACCTAATGAAATTAACACACATAGAGCCAAGCTTTCTCACCGATCACGTTTCACATTGTTTGTGGCTCTCAGTTTCCATGCATGGAATACGAAGTTTGAGTCCTTATGACTCCCTCCGAACCGCACTCTACTAATTATATTTTTGGGTTGTCTCACGTCCAAAAGGCTTTCCAGACACTCAGAGCCCTTCCTTCTAAAGAAGTGCATTCATCCACTTGAGTTTAATTGCAGCCCCTAGGAAATTCGACAACATGACTGAGATAGACGACGTTGTACATAAATGTCAAGACATCAGCCAATTGGATATAAAATGAAGAGTAAGTGCCCGTGAAAGCTCGTTAAGGCCTCTTTTGACTATGAGCCCGACCTCGAGCTCAAACAATTGTCGGGCGAGAGGAGTAACTGATATGCCAGCGAGGCTTTGAGCAATACCTGTAGGGTTGACCAAGTCTTAAAGCTGATTTGTTAATGATACGTTGCACCTGCCATTCTGAACACTGGGCGTACCACGAGTACCAAAGCAGTGAACTTTCACAATGCTCATGCATCAACGAAACGTGCGAAAACGTACTGACGTAGAAAGTGTCATTATCTGGAGACTCTGCATTGAGATATGATGTACGTGCTACGGTACAAAAAAAAGTACATCGGTGAGAAGTTTAGGTCTCCGATATTGATTGCTAGTGCTATGTCGGCGGTCGACAAAGCCGAGACTTGCTTTATATTTGTATTTTTTGTTTCTTTTAGAGCTCGAAAATCCGCTGTGCTTCTTGAATTGTTTCCAGAACGGATTCCAGCAAGTGTATATTTGTAACAGGATTTGAGACACTGCAAAAACAGTCGTTACAGTCTCAGCTCGGATCCGAGGTGCTCCAATTACCGTGGCTTGGTGATCGTAAATCCTCACCAGACTAATGAGTTTCTGAAAAAAATTCAATTCCGAGAGGTAACTGAGAAACCGACGCCTTGGTGACCGGCAGTATGGAGGGCATCAACCAATTTCCTGCACCAGCAATCTCAATTGCTAGGTACAAATAATATAACTCCTAAAGAACCATGACTGATACATTGATTTGTGATGACAATGTTAAGAGGGTCATTCAACTCATTGAACAGAAGTCAAGACGATTTGATTATGATTAACAGACATAGGCGAGTTTACTTCCAATATTTATATTACTAGAGACAAATATCTGAGACATGTGCGCTCCAAATTATATTACATTTTTCTTTTCATGATAATAGATATTAATAATGCGTTATTATGTTAATTTACCATTAATGAGTAAAACTTGAACAGATAACTAAAATTCGAACAGAAACTCTTTCACTTCATGTGAACATTCATATTGGAAGCAGTATTTAAGTAATCACAGAGCTCTCGAATCAGAGTGCTGTTCAAAAGCGCCATGGATTGTGAGAGTGCACACAGTGACTGCACACATGGAGAACTGTCACCAATAATCCGAGCAAAAAGTCAGGAAAATTCGCTATAATATCTTGCGCAAGGTTTTCGTCGCCAGAATAAAGCATAGTATGGAATATTTTTGCGAGCAACCTTGCTTCTTTCTCTCTTGGTCGGTGCTCGCTCAAGCGAGGTTTTGATTTCGGAAAGATTTTTTTGCGTAGCGTCCTGAAACGACAGAGGCTCCGTCGTTCGACACGGTTTGTAGCGGTAGACTGTGACGTGGGCTTCGCAGAACACGTGACTCTTCCAGTAACCTGGAGGACTATCCACATAAGAGTATCCTGCAAGCCACAAGCATCATACTTCAATGGATGCTTGAGCCTTTCTGTTAGCATTATTTGTCGTAAGTTAGAGCCATACACAATCATAAAAGTCAAAGGAAATTCATAGACAAAATTACTCCTAGGAATCATTTAAAATAATTTTAAATTGGGATCATATTAGATGTGTGATCGGGTGAAAGCTTGGAATGAATCTTGAACATTTTTTTCTCAATAGACTTAAGTTCAAAATATATTTCGTAAGCTGCATCGAAATATTACGTCGAAATTTTCGACTCGCATTACCTGCTTTGATTAGGATTTATAATGCGAAGCGTTTAAATAAGAATTTATAAAAAGAACACGAACTCTTAGAGATTTGTCAAATTTAAAGAAAGAGCCTAGACCGCTGACACTTTAAAAATTGAAAAAGAAAATTATAAACGATTAAATAGCTATATGGATGATCCTCTGAAGAGCATCATTAGCTAAGCAATGCTACCTGGAATTTTATTAACGAGAAATGTATGTATTCATGAGTGTTTTGCTGTGATTGATTGAAAAAAGCCACGAAAAAACATTCGAAAAATATTCAGAAGAAACGAAATATATGAGCCAAAAGAAACTCGCTGAGCAGGATTTTTGTGAGATTCCATGTAAACTTTGGTCCTCTAACATATCGTGTTTGTGCCACCGCTGACAATTGTCGGCCAATGTAACATCTTTGCCTGCCTGGTCACATGCGAGCTTCTATTAAACCCCACCAGGTAATAGACATTAAAGAAGCCGACATTCACCAGTGTTGGGTCAACGGTGAATGCACTCATGCATCACTAATGGGCGGTA